AAGAAAAAGATGAAAAAAAATTGAGTTTAATAGGAAATACTTATAAAAAAGGAGGGGAAGTTCAATTAAAAACTTCATTAACACCAAGAAGAAAAAAAAGAACAGCAATCAAATTTAATGCAAATGAGATTAATAGTATACTTGAAGAAATGAAACAAAAAGAGGAGATACAACAAAGTACAACTCTTAGTAAATCTGCAAGTGCATTAGACATTAAAATGGATAATGCTAATGATTATTTAAGAAGTAGAGGAAAAACTCTTATTAATGTAGAACAAGTTGAACCAAAAATACAACATCATCGCATTGATGGAAGTGATCAAATCATTGAAAATACTAATAAATTAAAAGACAATGAAAACCAAATAAAAACATCTACTTTAGATGATTCAATAAATAGAGAAGAAATTAAAGGTAAAGACAATATTAAATTAGTTGACTTAGATATAAGTTTCAATATTCCTAAATTTAAATTTATTTGTAATGGAACATTATGCAATGAAGATCAAGCAAAAATGATTGCAGACTTAAATCTCAAAAAAGCAAAACGAAAGCACATTATTATGGAATTATTAGAAACAGAAAAAAGTTATGTCAACAGAATGAAGGAATGTCTTGACACTTTCTATATTCCTTTAAAAAAATACATGAAAGAAGAAGATCTTAAAATTGCATTTAATTGTTTACCAAATATCTATAAAATAAATGTTAAATTAATACAAGAATTAAATGAAAGAAAGAATAATACTAGTGACCTTGGAGTAATGAAAGTTGCTGATATACTTAATTCTTTTTTTACATTAAATGAAGTAGAACAATATTATGGAGAATATATTATTACTGGAGATTCAGCTGTAACTTATCCATTTGAAATTCATGGTGAAGAAATTAAAACCCTCTTATCAAAATGGGTAGATGAATGTAAAATACCTTCAAATTACTTAATTGAACCAGTTCAAAGGTTTCCTCGATATATTTTATTATTAGAATCACTGATCAAAGCTACACCCACTTTTACAAATGAATATATTGAACTTCAAAAAGTAAATGAACACATCAAAGAAATCACTAAAAGAATTGATGAAAAGAAGAATAATTATATATCTCATCAAAAACAAAATTATTATAAGTCCTATCTACCTCATCCTATTAATTTTGGAACATTTATTTATGAAGGAAGTTATTACTA